AACGATGTCGGAGCTGCGTTCCATTCGTCTTCTTCGGCCAAGCAAAAATTGGATCTGCAAAAAGACACAAAATCAAAGCCCCAAATTCAGGCTACCCCCTATTTTGGGGTCTACGAGTTCAATGGTGATGGCCATTTGGCCCGAGGAGGCCTGTATCATCATGTTCGGGCATTGGCCGTTTCCAAGCCCTAACCATGGCAACCTGCATTCTAAGCTTCTAGCTCTTCATGTAGCACATTAGAACGATTCGAAACAATCATATGAACACAAATGTATGCTTTAGATTCATTTAAATCGCGTGTGTTAAGAGATTCAAATACAAAAAATTTACCAAAAAGTTATGACTTGGTTGGCCGGTTTCAGGCTGCTTCAGTCGTGGATGAAGGTTGATATGGTTTCCTGGGACCTTCAAGAGGAAGATTGGCTCCTTTGTTTTGATCAACAAAGGCTGAAACTAGTGCTTTTGATTTTCACGATTTCTTGAAATTTTGCAAATTCTCTAGGGTTTTTTGTGTGGCTGTTGCGCATCTGCCTTAGGTCTAGGGTTGTTCTGCTTATGTAGTGTATCTCATTAGGGTTACAATTGTAGCAAGAATCCAATTGATCAATGCTCTTTTTAAATATAAAGATTTTGATCCAAATATTTCCAAAAGAAGAGATCCATTTCCTTTTTCAATCCACGCGGTTTTAATAGCTGGCCATGATCACTTTGGTTTAAAAAAGATTTGCATATTCTATATCTTGCATATTCTTGCATTTATTTAATATTTATTTAATTTATTTTGAATTTATTTGAATATAATCAAGATAAATAAAATAAAAAAACAGATAAATGCATGGACATGTTTAGAGATCCTTAGATGCATCATGAACACATTTGGACTCTAAAAATTGGGCCCAATAGCTCAACAATACAAATTTGCCAAATTAAGATTTCATGCATTTCTTGAAAATTGCCCAACTTGTGCAATCCTTATCTCTCTCATTTTTAACCCTAAGAGGGTGTTCTTGAACTTTTTAGAGAGCTTAGGATGTGCTCTAAACAACTTTTTTAATTTCATCTCAATTGGATCTTCCATGTTCATGTAAGGAGCTTTGACCCAAAAGGTGTTTTTGTTGACTTTTTGAAAGGACTTATAATGTCTGACCTTGTATCTTTTGATTGAGGCATTTTTTGAACTTGCAGGCTGAAGAGGAGTTGTAGGGAATTGGATTCTATTCAAAATGATCCTTGGTGGAAAAATTTATAATAAAGTATGAGAAAGTTATGCCTGGTCAAAGTTTGGTTTACTTTTCCTATAGAAACCCTAATTTGCCATTTTTGACTTTTGATGAGTTAGGCGCATTTCTTGAGGAATCATTATCAAACCTTGATCAAATGATGGATATCACTTAAAAATGTTGATTTTGACCAAAAAACTTGAAGTTTGACTATATTTGGGCCACAATTGACTTTTGACCTAGTGTAGTTGATTTTCAGGAATTTGAGCAGTTAACTGAGCAAACTTGTTGTTCAAGGCATGAAATTGTGCATGGATGATCTTGAGAACATATTAGGACAATGGAGAACATTTGGGATCCTTGGGACTCACACATCTTGCTTAAAATTGAAACCCTAGTTAGAGGCTTGTTATCTTAGGAGGAGAATTTGTTTGATCAATTCTTGGTCAACCTTGGACAATTGAGGACCTCTAGGAGTATGTCTTGTGTGAAAATGGGAGGAAAATTTTTGGGGTACAACAAGCCCAATCTCTTATGCCACAACTTACTGCCACCTTCAGCATCAAGACACGTTGCTTCAGCTCTTTCTACATTCACCTTGAAAGTTCTGTTGCTTCCTTGTTCAGACTTCATAATCAACTTCTGATTGGAATCATACAACGTCAAGAGATTGTTTTTCATAACAACTGATAAACCTTTCTCAATCAGCTGACCCACGCTCATCAGATTGCTTCTAATACTAGGAATATACCAAACGCTTTTTATCAGAATATTTTTCCCATTCTTCACTCTAACTCTGACATCTCCCATACCTTCTGCATTAAGATACTTATCGTCAGCACATCTGATCTTTGTTCTCCTTCTAGAGTCAAGGTCTGTCAGCCACTGTTTGTTTCCAGTTAAGTAATTTGAGCAGCCAGTGTCCATATACCACCAATCTTCTGAGCATTTTCCATTAGAATCAGAAGCCATTAGTAGCACATGTTCATCATCAGAGTTTCTCATAGCCATATACGTTTCTTCTTATTTTCTTTCGTTGTTTAACCTACAATCTCTGGAAAAATGGCCAAATTGTTTACAAGAGTAACATTGAACCTTCCTTTTGTCATACCTCTCCTTTCCTTTATGATATCTCTTATCATCAGAAGTTGAGGTTTCTGACTTCTGGAATCTATCACCACATTTATTATGCTTCTGGTCTTTCTTGACAAAATAAGCCTTCAGAGCTTGCTCAGCTTCCATTTCATAAGTTCTCTCATACAGACGTAACTCTTGTGCTTCTAAACTGCTTTGCAATTCTTCTATTCTCATGGTTTCCAGATCTTTAGAATGTTCAATAGAAACAACAATGTAATCAAACAGAGTTTCTCCACACGCCTTCATCTCGTTAGTGATCAGAATCACTTTGGAGATATATTCAGAAATTTTCTCACTGTTCTTCATGTTCAAGTTCTCATATTGCTTTCGCAGGGATTGAAGCTTCACCTTCTTTACTGATGCGTCACCACCGTAACATCTCACCAGTAAATCCCACGTCCCTTTTGACGTTGTTGAATCAACAATCTTCTCGAGAGCTTTCTGGTCCCTCTTCCTCATAACCCTCTCAGCAGTTTTCTGTTCTTCAGTTGCATCTGCTGCAGCTGGTACATAACCATCTGTAACCAGATCCAAAACATCTTGCGCACCAAACAACACACACATTTGTATCATCCATCTGCTTTAGTTTTTGCCATTAAAAACTGGGAGTTTGGTGTTCAAACTACTGCCTCCACTCATTTTAAATCTTGCACATATTTTTTCAGATCTTCAAACACACTGTTTCCCAACCCACAAAATCAGATTCTGTTCAGATTTTGTTCAAGATTTCAACAGACAATCAATGAACCAAAATTAAACACACATCTCACAATCACTCGTGTTTCCCAGGAAAAAACAGAACCAAGTGCTCTATATATCAATTTGTTGGTGCAAGGTAATGGAGTGGGGGAAGAAGAATGAACAAGAATGATAACAAGACTAATGTTGTAAATCAAAATAGAGGAGATAAAATTAGGTACAATATTGTTAGTATAGTATAGCATATTTATACTAAATATTGAAAATGCCAAAAGACCCTATTAAAGAATAAGCATTGGGAATTGTAGTTATTAACTAAATTATCTTTCCAATAGAATTAACACACTTAATCAAGAGTTTGAATCTTTCGCATGAAACATGGTGAAATCATTGCTTAAATACAAAAGAGGTTTGCTCATCTTATTAATTGTTTAAACATACTAGTTAATCTTATTTTCAATGTTATTGCTACTTAGAAGGTTTTGAGATGTCTTACTAAAAATTAACAATTAAAAATCGTCGCGATCACGGAAACTAATAATCTTATAATACTTATAATGATCTTATAATACTTAATCTAACTATTTTGTTTAGAAAGCTGAAAAAACATGAACAAGAATTCACTTGCTTAAAGAAGCATGAATTATTTATCATATTTTTTCATGTTTTTACTTACATTCATATTTACTTATTTATCATGTTTTTTTCTTTTTCTTGAATGAACTTATAATCATTAAGCAACTAATAAAAATATATTTACGGCTAAATTATGTGTCACTAGCTAATAGAAGGTGAGATATCAGCATCATGATAAATATATTTCTATAACGGTGTAATACGTTCTAGCTTGCAGAACATCCCTATTATACTTGTTGTGTGCGTGCTAACATGCAGCTTTTATTGCCTCATTAACTGCTTTTATTAGCTCTTCCGGACATTTAGCATGTGTGAAAAAACACACTAATTTATGGTATGATTTTCTAGATGGCATTTTTTAATAATGGGAGCCATAAAACCATAAAAACTATAGTAGTATATTAATATTAATTATAAAAGTCAATAAAAATAAGAATAATATTAAAAAAATCATATTGTTATTGCATGAAAAAATATACGATTACTATAGTCGATAAAAATCATATTGTCTTATGTATAATATAGTATGAAGATTTATAGTATAAAGTTCGTATACAATTTAATTGATTGCTAAATGTGTAACCAAAAAAAAAAGAAGTTAAAAGTATATAATAAAGCTTTATTTTTTATGGCAAAAGTGTATAAAGCTATAAAGTAATGTAATCTATTTATAACTACATATCATAACAATCTTGCAATTTAAAATTGATTTTATAAAAAGTGACAAAATTTTGTTACAAGATCTAGTATATAAGGACTAAAACAATATAACTATTTTTACCGACATATCATATGTCTTCTTTTTTAAGTAATTATAAATACAAATATTTTAGAATATTAGAATAGCCATTTCACATTTTTTATTCATTACCTACATCATATATATTAATTAAAGAAAAATCTACAATCAATCAAACCATAACTGTAACTAAAAAAAAACATAAATAGATAAATAAAGATGAACCCATCTTGCATAAATAGATAAATAAAGATGAACCCATCTTGCAAGCATCATTTTTTGGTTACAATTTTTACATTTACATTTTGTTTTTACAAATTTACAATCCACAACAACCGTGTCTAGTAAGAACTCAAATCCACAAAAAAAAAAAAAAGAATAAAATAATAATCAAACCAGATTCATATTTTTTTATCATTAACTCACTAATAATTATATTTTCCTAAAACAAACTCACCTAACACCAATCATTGGGAGAAAAATACCCAAAAATAATAACAACAAAAAAAGTTAGTGATAATCTTTAGTCCGATCCATGAATACCGAGTTAACTCAGTCACTCACTGACTCAGCAAATTAGATCATTCTGAAGCAACGGACTTGATTCTCCTACAAACTCAAAACCACTATTACTACTATTTCTCTTTCTCACATCCACGTGGCACCGTTTCTGAAAATTCTCAATCATCGATAATCTCGGTTCGGGTCGGGCCATAACCCGAAGAAGCTCTTCAAAAACCAACTCATCACACGGTATAGCAAGCGGTCCATCGTTACAAAAACCGTACTCCTCCTCCGCCTGCATCAGAAGCTTCTTGAAGATCGGGTGATTCAAGTAGCTAGCGCGAACGACGAACCTCCTCATCGTAGGACCCACGCAAACCGCCACGTGTCCTTCCGGCACATCGGAGGTTGTTGATAATCTAGCTTTCTTTCTCCACCGGAGAAGCATTTGACGCAGCCGCACAATGCGGCGGATTTTACTGCTTTTTCCGGTGGATATCGACGGTGACGGCGACATTTGGAAATTTGAAAAAGTGAGAGAGGAAAAAAGGTGGAGTGTGGAAAAAGTAACGGAGCGTTGTAATGGGAATTTGGTAGTGTGGAAGGTGGAACGTATATATGGATTTTGTGAAAGTGAAATGCCATTGGAGTTGGAGATAATTACGAGACTATGCCATTTTGTTGTTGTATCTATCGTGGTCAAGCCCATGTGACGATGTGAATGGGTCATGTGGGCTTTGTTTGAGCCCGCTAGTTTTTTATGATGCTTTTGTTTTTTATTTATTTTTAAATCGAGTATTATTAGTCTATAATTATAGAAATTAATTCTCAGTCGAATAAAACTACAATAGATGATAAAACTCTCATTTAAGATAATTTAACACTGCTCTATATTTAGAGTTGAGTTTGATTCTAAAATATTTGATTTAGTTAGAAGAAATTTTTTACCATTTCATTCTAATGCTTTCGTTATGATGCTTTTTAGTACAATTTTGCAATGCAATATACTAAGTCTACTTTAGAAAAGATAATGTTAACTTTTTATTATCCTAAACAGTTTTTTAATATTGTTTGATTCTAAATTGTTTTCAATTTTGATTTTGGGTCCATGGATAGTGCCACTGCAATTATGCGGAGTGGAAGTTATTAAACTAATTAAATTATAATGTGAGAAAAGAGAATATCTGTTTATAGTGCGAGTTTGATCTTTGAAATTTTTTTATTTGACCATTTGGTTACAACCATACTCATTGATACTGCTATTTTAACATAAATGCTTTTGATTTTTTAATAAGTTAATAAATGAATTATAAACCGACTAAACTCGCACAAAGATGTTCACTGAATAGTTTAAAAAACAAAGTATAAACTTACACAAAAGATACAACAATATAATTTTCAAAATATAACACCAACACCGGAAAAGCCTCATAAGACAGCCAAGCTTATAAGCTCTGCCAAAACAATTAAGGAGGTTGTTCCAACCTTAAATATATTCTTAATTTTTAAATACTCCAAATACAAGTCAAACATATGTCATGAATCTTATTTCTATTGCACTGTCTTGATTATAATATTATAGACATCATAGATTATGCTATGTCAAGTTGATAAGTACATATTGTATCTTTTTGATGGTGTAAGATTTTTAATTAGTTGGTTTGGAAAATTGTTCTTCTTAAGAACCCAAATAGTCTTTTTGAGAGTTTTATCTCGTTAGATGGTATGATGAAGTGTAGGAGATTTAATTTGGTATGTGGTGGTTTTATTTATTTGGAAGATTAAGAATGAGAACATGTTTTTTTTGTCTTCAACAAACATGAAAGATGTGAAGGAGAAAAATATTTTTTGTAATTTATAAATAATTTTTGAAAAGATCAATTGAGAACTCTTACACCTTCACATAATAACTTTAGAATTCTATCCTTTTGAATAACCAATAACATGTTGAGATTTATTGTCAAATTGTAAATGTGGATGTTCCTTTCTTTTTCTTGGTGGTCTTTGATTCGTGTGAGTGGTCATAGTGACTTGAGATTTAGCTTGTTATTTATTGTGATGAAGTGTTCAGGGCGAATTTCTTTAGAGTTTGACTTGTGGTAGATTTTGTTGTTTTTTTGTTTTTTTTAATAAGTAATAATATCATTAAAAACTTCGAGATCGATTACAAGAAGTACTCTAATCGAACATCCGACTAGCAAACCTCACCTCTTTATACATCTTAGATGCAAAGTGTTCCAAGTGTGGAAGTTACAATAGATAGAGAAAACATTAACATATCTGAACCATTTTCAGGACACAAATTTGACCGACATAAAACAATGATTTTGTTGTTTTTTGTAATTGTATTTGTTTGTCTTCTTTTGTTTGTTTAGTTTATTTTTTCTTCTATTCTCATGTATTGCTTTGGATACTTGTACTATTTTTGCGCATTTGTACTCAATTAGATTATGTACAATAGTTTATATATTCAACATGGTTTATATATTGAACATTCTTATTTTTTATTTTTTACACTGTATATCATCTTCTCTTTCTTTCATCTAATAATTCAACACTCATTTGTCATACCCTAAATTTAACCTACCATTATATTATATTTAGATTTCTAATTAAATAAATCATATTATATATGGGGGTGTAAAACATGAAAGAGAAGTGTATTGATCTAAAATGGATCATCAATATCTGATGGTCCATTAAGGGTTCATTCATGTTTTGAGAAAAGGTGCGTTTTTATAATGAGAGTACACTATTTTGAAAATCATGGCCCTTTCTAAATCAGAAAGGGTCAGTGTAATTTTTTGTAATCCATTTCAAATATAGAAGGGAAGTATGTTGCAATCAGGGAGGTGTATGAGTAATTCGTTTGTTGTTAAGGTCTAATAGACAATGTGACTCATCTAATTTTTTGGCTTGCTTTAAAAAAAGTTGTTTTGTTCATATTATTGTTATAATTAAACGTTATATATATTAACTTAACTTAATTGCTTGGTTTTATTAACTAAAAAGAATAAAAACATTGCAAAACTAGTCTTTTTGCACGATCCAAAGTCCTACCAAACAAGGCCCAAAGTCTCAAGGATTCATTCATTGTATTAATCAAAAGAAAAAAAATTGTTTTGTTTTAATTATATAATAATAATAATAATAATTATTATTTAATATTACTATTATTATAATTACTATTATTACTGATTATTATTAAAATCATTATTACATCAGTTTTGATTATTTGAAAAAACAGTGACTAAGACTTAAAGCCCTCAAACGCGCAGCACAAGCCTAAAACATTACCGACCCAATCCAAAATCAGAGAAAATGCATGGCCCAAAACTAAGTCAAGGGAACTCCCACCGTTCAAATCTGAAAGAAAAGAAGCGAATGTTTGAGGCTAAAAAACGGTTATTGTTTGAATCAAACAAATCTTGCATTATTGTCCGGAATTAATACATAATTGAACAAGATCACACCAATACAGAAACAAATTTTTTCATCAAACTATACAATAAATTCAAAAACAGATTTGTGCAAAGTCAAATGAGACTTAATCTAAATCGACACAGAATCATATCAAAGATCTTTATAGTCCATAATCAAAACAAATCAGTATACAAAGTTATTACGATTTACAAACGAAATCAGGACAAATCCCCAAATTCATTAATTCACTAAAAATAACGTCAATTATTGAGGGATATTTTACAAAAAGGAAATCAGAAGAAGTTCAGACACGGAACAAAAAGAGCCTCGTCGTAATCTTTGTTCACCTCCAATCTTTATAAACCTAGGATTTTAATATATGAAACCCTAGTTTTCTCCTTGAAGCGTCATTACCTTCATCTTCGACATCATCCGCAGCCGCACCTACAAACAGAAGGAGGAGAGGTTAGCATAACGAGATCGGAAGCAAAAAACCCACAACAAGGTAAGGGTTTGAACCGTAGCTTAATTTTTTTATGTTGTTGTGTTTGATCTGAGGATTGGGGCTTGTGGGTTGTTGGTGTATCGGAGAAGGAGGGAGATGGTCGGAGTCATCGCTGCTTAGGACGAACTAGGGTGTTTTTATTGTGAAGAGAGAAGAGGGTTAGGCGAGGGGAAGAAGGATGCGAGTGAAGAGGGAGAACGATAACAAAAAATGAAATGATTGTTTGATAAAATAAAAATATAACATGTCCATATATCCAGTACGCATTGTCCCATGGTCACTACTACACGCCTTCAGTCATCATCATCCTATCACCATCATACGGTACAAAGACACGCGCCTATGATCTTATGGTACTCTCGCCCATACTTGAACCAAATGGACCCGTCCCAAACCATTCTAGGCCTGGCCCGTATCTAAACACACCCCCTCATGTTTTATTTTACTAGTCTACGCAAAACTTCATCCCCTAGGCCAACTGAGCCAAGTCCAAAATCTAGACTTGGCCCCCTAGCTCTTTGCACCCCCATTTTTACTAGCTCAATAAGATTCACACACCCCCTGCGTTTTGTTTATTTTTCTTTGTTAATTTTATTTTTAATTTTTTATATTTTCTATTTTCTATTTTTATAAATATAATATTATATATTATTATTATTATATCACATAAATTTTATTTTTCTAAACTCATCAAAAATAAAATATTTATTTACGCACTAAAATTGTTTTTAATCATGCATTAATAAAGACATTTTTTATAATTAATACCATTAAAAAATATTTAACCAATACCGAATCATTTTCATAATCAAATTAAATTCCACAAACAATTCTCAAAAAGGATTACGAATATATTTAAATCGACTGCGCACTTTGTCTAATATCTCCTCTACTCACACACCTAGACTAAGTATGTGGAAAATTCAGATATCTTCGTAATCCATAAAAAACACAAACGAACAACGAACTATGAATTTAGACTTTGATTCCTCATAATAGGATACATAGGCATACAACTAAAATCATGGCGAGTTCCCCTAATAAAAAACTAAAACCCTATTTCTTAAAGATCGTGCTTCTAACCCTGGTATCCTTGTAAACAAGGTAGATGAGGGGTGCCTAACACCTTCCTTTCGTATAAAACTGAGTCAAAAACCTAGAATCTCTAACTTTTGGGTTAACCTTCATATTTCATTCCTTAGGATAAAAATTAAGGGTGGCGACTCTCAAATTTAAAACTAGTTACAACAGCTGGCGACTCTGCTTTGGATTCAACCCTAAGTTTAAAAGCCTTATCCTTTTGTTTTAGGGTTTTTCTTATTTTTTGGGTTTTTATTCTTTCTTATTTAATCATTTATTTATTTCTTGCTTATCCTTTTTTATTATTTATCACATTTATCATTTGTGGTGGGATTTAAATTCTGCAAAATTATTCTCAAAACCCTTAGAAAGAAGGTTCGTCTATTAACCAAGGGGATACATCATCCCTATGAGTTTATGTGACGACTTTGTAACGCCCTGAATTTAATTAATTATTTAATTAAATTAATTAAAGATTTAATTATTGGAAATGGTCGAAGTTAGGATCT